AATGTGAGGGGGGGGGGGAGGGGAGAAAGAAGGCACACACACACCTCGTTGGCGGCCCTTACTCCGACCACCGCGACCGCCTCGATCTGTGTTTTGCCAGTTTGTGGTTCGCGAAAGCTGCACATCCCAGGGCAGGAGAAAATTACTGCCGCGGAGGAATCCGGGGTAGGCGAAACCTGAAAGGGCAGGGGACAGGCCACCGAAGTTAGCGCTCTGTTGAAACTTCAAAATAGGTAGGGTGACAAGCCAGTGGCAAAAAAACTACTAAGATACACAATTAATCGCTGCATTCCAAGACTCTCTGGCACAAGCATTGCATACGTAATGATTGACGTCAATAAGATCTCAGTGCAATTTAATGTACCTTACGAGTACGAACGAGTGCATAGAGGATTATTTTGAAGAAAACCATCAAGCTACCTAACTCTCCAACACATTAAACCTGATTGGAAACATTTTATTAAACTACCTCCTTCCGTTCATAGCACAGGGGTGCGTTTCGTAGCTTTGACGTGTTGTGGCTCGAGGGCCATACTCGCTTCATTGCCGATCGTATCCGGTATCTCCAGGCAGAATTCTTGAAACCATATTAAGGAAAGCACTTTAAATTGCTTTACTGGCAATTTCTCGGTTGGACACGGAACCAAGTGTCCCGTGCTATTGCTGCCATTACGATAGATTTCCAGAGGGATGCCTGCTTCCGTGTCCTAGTTTTAACCCTGACCCGCCTGGAATTTGGCACAACGCCATCCATAATACGGGAGAAGGTATCTATGACCGTGCCCCACCAATTTCTCTCCAATCATCGGCGAAAGTTGGTATTACTTGTGGCGTACTTGTAGAGTACGTCCACATTGTCACCGCGCATGCACGTCATGCATCGGCCTAGTTGGTCACCTGCGAATCCACTGCAAACACTGACGAACTGATGCCTGGGGCTCCAACATACACCCACTGCACCCGCCTCAACTATCCACACTGCTCACACACATTCAATCCCCGCGTGGACCTGCTCGGCTACATGCGCCTTCATGAAAATCTGTGGCAAACCACCAAAGACCAAACCACACCACCACACATTCCCCCATCAACATATGCACCACATACGAACACGTTCGACATCACATACCACAGACGTGGACTAGGCATCCCCAACCTAAGTGGGAAGTGTGTTCTTTGGCTCCTTCTATATGTGGTGCCTATGCTACTATAACACATGTGAGATCTGGGCAGCCCACCCCTTGTCTGAAATCTTGGTGTGCTATGCGAGGAACCAGTTCGTGTGTGGCACGCGTAGATGGGCTGTTTTAGTTTTGTCAGTCACTGCTCCCAATCTCCGCGTCGGGTGATTGACCGGCTCGGCTGATCAATCGGCGCACGGGAGAGGGAGGAGAGTGAAGCCGACTTTGGGGAATTCATCCTCATGGCACTTCAGCGCATTCCTCACGATAATAAATTTGACGCGCTTGAAACTAGCACGAGGCGCTAGACGTCGCGACTTGGGAGGTCGCCAGCTGACGGTACAACTCAGGCCTCGTAATTAGCCTTGTGTGTTTGTGTGGAGTGGCCAACTGGTGGAGTGCGAGTCAAGTCCAATGACTGATACAAGCGAAAATGCGAGTTCCAGGAACTAGTTGATCAGAAGAAGAAGCGATCGCTGGAACAATGGCTTTATTCGCCTGACGTTTCGGATTCTGTCTTGAATCCATCATCAGAGGCAGTTGCAGAAAAGGGTGGCTAGTGTACAGGAAGTCGCAGTATTTATAGGATGCGGTCGCCATGCTACCGCATACCTACAGCAATTAACCGTGCTCACTTCATCAAGGATTGTTGCCCGCTGGTGCGCTAATTGCTTGATGGCCGGCATGCAAGTTGTTAATTGCTGACATCTCATCACCCGTGTTGGATGCTGGCGTGATGATTGCTCGGCCATCTGGCTCACATGCTTGCGCGCTCCTCGAGTGGTCAATTGCTTTGGCCAGTCTATGCCTCAGGACAGAATATGGAGTGGGGATGTCGTTGCACTTGTTGATAGACTGAGGTCCCGTGAACCATGACTCAAGCAACTCGCGGCTCACGCGATTATCCCCTCTCGCGAGAATTTCGGCCTCATCGAACTTGAATGTGTGGCCGGGTCTCGTCGAATGGGCCGCGACCTGAGAGTTGGCGTCATTTCTCCGTACAGCTGCCACGTGTTCGGCAATTCGCGTCCGGAGCAGTCTTCCAGTTTCTCCGACGTAGTTGCTTTGTCCGCAACTGCACCAGATCCAGTAAACGACTCCAGATGTTTCTTGCCGTGGCAGTGGGTCTTTTGGTCTCATCACTTGACGCCTCATGGTGGCCTCCGGTCTGTGCGCAACTCCAACCCCAAGTGGTGCAAGAAGGCGGCTAACTGCCTCGGAGACGTTCTTGATGTACGGGATCGCTCGCCAGAATTTGGGGTCGGCGCGATTTTGTCGCCCGTCTCGTTTGCGCAGGCACTGGTTGACGAAGTTGCGCGGGTAACCGTTTTCTCGGAAAACCCGTCGAAGATATTGGGATTCGGCAACCTTGTCTTCCGGTTCACTGCAGTGCGTCTCAACACGCCGAAATAGCGTTCTTACGCAACTGCGTTTGTGGCTGATTGGGTGGTTACTGTTGAAGTTCAGAATTTGCGCCGTGTTCGTTGCTTTTCTGAACACTTTGGTCTTTAGGCCACCACAATCTTTGCGACAGACGAGGACATCAAGGAATGCCAGCTGGTTATTCTCTTCCTCCTCCATCGTGAATTGTATGTCCGGGAAGACGCTGTTGAGACGTTCTTTGAACGTTAGCACCTGATCCCGTTCGATGACGACGAAGGTATCGTCCACATACCGAGCCCAGAATTTCGGTCTGTGGTGTTGGAAGACCAGCGACTCCAACCGCTGTAGCACCGCCTCGGCGATGAATCCCGAAATCGGCGAGCCCATTGGTGTTCCCTTCACTTGCTCGTAGATTGTTCCGTCAAACGTGAAGTATGTCCTGAGACAGAACTTTAGGAGCTGAAGGACTTGGGCATGTCCGAGACGATTCTCCGTTTCATCATAATTGTTTCGTAGGAGTAGCTGGACGGTCTCGATTGCCAGATCCTGGGGGATAGAAGTAAAGAGGGACGTGACATCAAAAGATACCATGACCTCATTGGGCAAGAGACTTACTCCTTTAAGCTTCTCCAGGAATTGCGTTGACGAACAGACCGTGGTGTCCGAATCAGCGGTCAGAAATTTGAGGCGCCGAAACAGCCATCGTGCCAGTCCGTACGTTGGAGTGCCTTTGAGCGAAACAATGGGCCGGAGAGGAGCGCCCTCCTTGTGCACCTTTGGGAGACCATAGAATCGGGCCAAAGCCGTTTCTTGGGCTCTCGCCATGCGTCGGTCGGTCGCTGTTATTGCACCCGAATTCTCCAGTGCCAACAGTGTTGCATTTATTTCGCGTGTCAGCGTTTTTATGGGGTTGGTTTCACATGGGACATAGAACTGGCGATCCTCCAGTAGGTTTTTGGCCTTCTGAAGGTAGTCTGTTCTGTCCAGTACGACGGTGGGACGCCCCTTGTCCGCGGGCACAATGACGATGTTCTTGTCGGCCTTGAGTTCTCTTAGTGCATTGCGTTCGACCTTTGTGAGTGTTTCGCGCGGCTTGTGAGTCATAAGGAGGGACGTAACTTGGTGTCGGATAAGGTTCTTCGTCTCCTCCGTCGCTTCCGTCTGATTAATGACCGATTCCACTGCTGCAATCATGTTGACAGGTTTGGCGTCAGCTGTGTTGAATGAGGCTTCGTGCCGTAAAACCTGTGCTTGCTCCTTCGTCAGTTCCTTTGACAACAGGTTGTGTACCAGTGTGCCGCTTCTGGATGACGTTGAATCAGGCAGTTTGTGGAATTTGTTCCCCAGTGCTGCATCGCGTGTCGCTCTCTGCTCGCGGGCTCGTTCAGTCACTTTCTGCTGAAGCAGATTTGTGCCGTTCTCGCCCATGAACTCGCAGCATCTGGCCTTTTCTTGGTCAATTCTCTGACGGTATTTGCGTAGTCTCGCATGGCAATCTTGAAGGAGCACGCGGATCATACGTCTTCCAATGACTCCTCCCTTAACCATGTCTCTAGTGAGATCTCACGCGTGTGAGACCTGAACAGCCCACCTGTTGTGTGAAAGCCTAAGTGTGATGTGCGGGGGACCAGGTCAAGTGTTTGGCACGGTCCTCCTTTCAGGACGGAGAGGCAGGGTGCAATGGCTTTATGGCACTCCCACTCAGTAGGAATTCGGGCCGTCCACTTTCTTGGTTCTTTGTGCGCGGATCAGGTGTGTGTGTGGCGACAGGCCTAAGTGGGGCTCAGGTCGCGCCAGCCACCTGTGCTCGATCCCACCTCAAGTCCCCTTGACTCTGTTTCGACACCAGTCTCAGGTGAGTGAGTACAAAGAGGCCGCAATAGATGCCGGGCAAGTCTACCATCACTATAAACTAGTTCAGGCACAAGCCCCCGTCCCTGCGCCCACTATGCTACGGGAGCAAAAGGTTGACATCATCAGTAACGACGGCCGAACTGTCATGTCTGGTTCCAGCGATTGTATCACGTTCTTCTGAATCACTTCCTGGAACCTCCTTTTTCGCTTCTATCGGTTTGAAATTATTTTCTCGGCAGTTGAAAATCTTGGCAGTGTCTGATGTCATTCGCGCCTTCTTATTAATACAACGCAAACCCCGCACATGCTGTTCGCTGAAGCATCAGAGTTAAACTTTTGTGCCAATAACCAACAGTTTCCGTTTGTCATTTCTAGTGGCGAAACGGCTAAGGAATCAAGCGTTTCTAATTACCTGAAAACGCAAAATGCTTGTGGCTTAAGAGACCGTCTTGGGTGACAGGGTGAAACATTCGCCTGGCGCTGATAATTTTAAGAAGAGGTCTCTACGGGCCTCACTTAATGACGAAACGGCAGGTCCAAGTGAAGCTACTGAAGCGGAAAATCAAGGGGGAACTATGCAAATCAGGAAAGGGGCCTGGGAGGCTTCAACAAATTAGTCGTACCAGAGGAGTGTGAATAGCTGAAATACTTCCCCAGTGTATGGATGGCCCAGGAGGCGTACAGAGGTAGGTGGCCAGGAGGCAGGCCAAGCGTAGGCATTGCGTCATAGAAGGCCACGGGAATCTTGCGTGGATGGGAGAGTCGTTGTGGTGTTGGGGCTGTTTGACCCTCCTTCTCCGCTTCCACTTCCTCGCCCTCCGATTGGTCAGAGCGTCCAGGATGGTGACTGCCACCGCGTGGGGTAACAAAGGGTGTCTCGGAGTCCTGCGACTCCGCATCTCCAGGGTCCTCATCAGCAGTCTTTAAACCCTCCGCGTCGACCCGATCACCTGCCAGGGAGGAGGAGGGATGCTCGAATGCGACAGAGGACTCCGAAGTAGAAGCCTCGTTTTCGGAGGCTAGTGGGTAAAGAAAGGAGAAAGAAGACGAAGATTCATTGGCACATGTCAATCGAGGTTGGAGAGACAGGGTAGCTAGACAAATCGGAAAGGCTGCTTCTAGGGGGTGAGTGAATGTGGCTCAGGTTAGTAACTAACCAAATGACAAATATTGGCACCCGTTCCATCCAGCTGTGAGACACTCCGTGACACCTGAATCCACAACAGTAGGTGCAATGCTTGAGTACAGTCAACGCTCTAATCACTTGAGCTAAGGGGTCCTGACCGGGAACCGTGGGTTAAATCACAATCGGGTCAAATAAATTATTCAGGTCTGCCAAAACATTTATTAATTAAGCCTGGTAGTCATCTGGTGGATTTGAATCCACCAGACACCGTCTAGACAGTCAGTTTACCATATCACAATTGGCGGTCTCCCGGTAGGACTCACGTATCTTAGGTGATTGAAGCGTTGACTGTACTCATGGCCGCCGAGTTTTCCGCAAATGGATCAAATGAATTATTCAAATCTGCCAAAAATACCCCCTTAAAACGTTGGTACGTCGCCACCCATCCTAGGCTTTACCGTCGCGATTTTCAAATGCCGGCTTTATATAAGATGCCGAGACTTGATTCATGCTCACAGAGCGCACCGTTGCTTGCAGTCCATCCAAGATCGGATTGAACAGACAAGGTTTACCGCAGTAGTCAGCTTTTTCAAAGTGTTCATTGCGTTAATCTATTTGTCACATGAGGAGCCATTAAGTTCTTCAATATAGACGTGCTCGACCACAACTTCGCTCCCAAATAGGCTGCTTCTTACTTACAAAATGAAGTCCGTCGATTTGACACGAATGGGATGCACTGAAAAGATGGCTGCATTTTTTTGGAGGTGTGCGCGCTGACTTGCGGACCAATCATTCTTGCATACGGTCTGAATGTTTAGCACGAATTTTCCAAGAATGCCGAAGTGAATGAGCGCAAAGGGAAGTAGCATCAGGCGGGATATTAGTGAACTTCTGAGTGCTCTACCGACACGATACATTTGAAAGGGCCTATTTCGCTCCCAGAAAATCTTCACACTCACTTCTTCACTCAGTCTTCCAAAAACGGCAGAAGGTGAGATGGCAGAGTGAAAACTGTGCCCTAGCACCATGGCAACGGCGGTTCTGTCGTTCAGTCATTTCCGATGACTAAAAACCAGCTAAATAACTTTCACGGTGAAGCTCTGGAGTCAGGTTGATGCCGAAGCTCGTTAATGCTATGGTGACTCGTCCAACCTAGCTGCGATCGTAAACAGACCGGTTAGTCTGCATTACCGTCGATGACGTTGGTGTGCTTTATTGCTATCTGCCTGAAGACATCGATCGGTCAGCAATATGGGCGCTGCGGAGCTCAGCCTTGAAGGTAACACAAAATGTGCTCTATAAGCAACATCGTTTTCTTGCGCGGTTTCCCTGAGAGAAGACCACGACACCAGTTGCTCTGTAGATGTAAACGAGGGGAACTTGCGCAGTGTAGAAGTTACGCTCTCTTTCAGTAGCCTTGAGTTGTAGGATTACGTCAAGACAAACTGGAGACGTAATTGGTGCAACGCCGAGCTGGCATGAAACAAAAGTCTGCTTGGCTATGAGGCCACCTTGAGAGGGAGTCAATTGCAACCTAGTCCAGGATGCCTGTTACTTCGCAATCCGAGAACCTTCGGACGCACAACTTCAGAGCGTCATATTCATCAAAGCGAGGAGAGGTTTCGCACGATTAGACTCATTTGCCTTTCCATCCCTCAGCGAGTACCATTGGAAAAACTGAGTCAAGCCAGCCGGAGGAGAGACCGAGAGCGATGGCTTATATAGCGCAAATCAGCCCTGTCTCGAGTGTCGCACTAGTCTTTGGTCCGAATTAGGTCTTACACAACAACGTTGCCCGTTTTAGGGACCCTAGACTTAGCATACAGGAGTAAATAAAAACACTCCGAGACCCATAAAGTGTACCTCTGTCTTCGTCGACAAATCCTGCCCGCCATACCAAAACATACTGTCGGAAGGAGCATAAATAACATGGAGAGGTGGGAAATCGTGTTAAAAGTGCCGGAGAGGACAAAACAATGAAAAAAAAGCTCACCGAATTCATCATTAGCATTGAAGAAGGCCTCTCCTAAGTCCTCGGAGCCATCCTCCTCGCCTTCGTCACCAAACGCCAGGTCTCCATCTTCCAACTTCTTATTTTTTGTCTCCTCGCGCACAATGGCTGGGTCGGCCGCTGCCAGGGTTACGTTCACTGAAACGGTAGGAGCTTCATCTACGGTAAGTGAAGCATCGTCCGCGGAAGTAGTCGTTGTAAAGTGGTGGCCTGGGCTGTTGAGGAAGTCGGGAGCCAGTGCCACAGAGTTGAGCTGAAATATGAGAGGCTCTTATGCGTAGGGTCAAATTGCGCTTTAAGTGATTTGGCCGGAGACGAAACATATAGGGCAGAAGCGGTATAAAAGGAAGCTCAGTAGGATCCAGCAAACGCAAGGCTAGTAGAAAAGTGCGTGCGACAGGGCATAGTGAACTAAAGATTTGGCAAAACTGTTAGGTTATTTAACGAACCAAAATGAAGAACGAGAAGGAAAAGACAAGGTGATTGGGGACTGTATGCTATGAGGGCGTCAGTGGCCATGAAGTAAACAATTCTGCCAGTGCATGTACTGAAAACGCAGGCGCGTCTACTGCGTCGGCCGGAGGGATGATTTTTCTTATCTCGTGCGCAGTAGTTGGATCAGGCTTCAACTACTGCATGATCAACTGATAATCTTGCTGCTTATCTTAAGGTCGGTGCAGGTTCCTGCTATGTCGGTCAAAAACCAGACCACGCTAACAAGAGCGTACAGTGCATGAATGGGTTACAATTTAGTTAGACACTCGAGTGCGTTGTGATCACTGCTGGTAGCACGCAAAGCCGTTGTTTTTTGTATATACACAGACCCAAACAGTGCATACTGCCAATTACCAGAACGCCTTTAACCACTTCCCCACATATAAATCTTATTTATCCGGTTTCTCAGACTCCCTCTCTCAACCTGGCGGTCGCAGGCCGACACCTCAGATGGCTCTGACATTTGTAGGTCACTTTTCCAGATGATATATGTTGAAGATTTTGGCTCGAGAGATCGTTAGGATAGGCAAGATCGTTACAGGCAATGGATAAATGTGTACCTTCGATCGGCAAATAAACAACCAGTGTCTGTGCTTTTTGCATTACTACACTTCACTGTACAGCATGAGATGGAAGTATCAAATTGTCCGAGAAGACTCGACCACTTCCTCCTCAACTGTCTCTGAGGAAGGAAAGGATCCCGGACATTGAGATCCTGCCGAGAAAGAGTGTGCTCAGCATCTACGCCATGTTGAGGCAGGCACAATTGCAGTTGGACGGCCACGCCGCGAGAGACTGTCGAAGCAACTTCCTCGGCGGCGTCGCTGTGGTTCACAGACAAGAAGGGCGAAACCATCAATAAGAAGGGTACCCTGAGGACTTTCCCGGGAGCCTACAAACCAATCCTGGCGCTGGGGGCGGTTGCGCACAGAATCCACCGGTTTGGCGCACTGTAACAAAAACCGTAGCAGCCCATCTTCGAAGCTACCGAATAGTAGAGGTAAAGGCAAATGGAGTGCCAGAGACCAACAACGCAGGCATCACATCCAGGTTGTCAGCTAACATTCGGGGCACGGATTGGCCCCGTTGGGCAACTCCGGACTCAGTGCAATGTCAACGCGACCAACGAACCTTAAACAGCACAATCACCACCACCGCCACCATCACCACCACTGAGGGCGAAGCAGACGCAGTGTAGGTCCGCTTCAGGTTCACGCGCAAATCACTGCTGGATCCACCTCGTGAGGCGGTGGGATTGTTGGTAGCGGGCAGGCGGTGCAGGAGAAACCCATCCCGAAGATACTAACGGCTGCGTTCGGGCCTACTTCAAGAACCTACCTTGCTGCAGCAGCTGAGCGCGAGAGAGTTGTAGAACTCCCAGTTGGCCTCGCGATAGTCAAAGGGGTCGGGTCTTGGAGCCTGCTGTCGGCCACAGTTGCAGGAGCTGATGAACTTCAAGTCGGAGCGATGTCGCATCACAGCCAGATGCAGCGTGGACTGGTCTTCCTCGGCATGAGGGCTTTCTGCAGTCGCTGACCCCGCTACCGTCCCCTGCCCAGTGGTCACATGTGATGCTGGTTTCTGGGTGCTGGCCGAAGCCGCGGCATCAGCATCCCCCGGCACAGTCGATGTCTTTTCAGGCTTGCCGATGTCTGCAGAAACCAGAGATTTCAGGACCGTAAGGACCCACTGGCAGCGCCAGAGCCCGGTCAGTGCTAAGGGAAAAGAGAGAAGAGATTGGCGTTTATCAAGCTCATTGTGTGAAATTCTCGAAAGTTCAACAAGTTTTCCCCTAGGCAAGCTTGAAAGGACCCGGTAATGAAGGCTGAACAAAAGTGATATTGATTCACGGCCTTTCTAAACCAGGAAACAGGAAGACAACTTAGCAGGTAATACCCAAAACAGTAGACACACTGTAAATCTGGATTGCAAACCGAGGCTGGAGGAAGCAAATTCAGAATCGCAAGAATCCGGCAATTATGCAATAGCCTGCCCAGAGTTCAAGAGAACTCAGGAATTTGTTGTGGAAAAGGCTCAAATTTTAGAACCTTAGGTTCCTCTGGTAGCGGCTTGAAAATGAACTATGATGGTTAGACTGTCGTTGCTACGTCCGCCGAAAACGATGCCAACTTTCTTGGTCCACAGAAGTGCTCAGTATAGTAAGTGGAAACGGTCCACTATAAATCAGTTCAGCACTTTTTAAAGATACACCATTCACCTAGCATAGTTCAGCCCTAAATCAGTCCTACTGAGATCCCACTATTGTTCTAGGTCATTGTTATTTGCTACATAATTCCACCGAGTTCTGCTTTTAAGCGCGAGGATTGAGTTACCACACGGACTGACAAACTTATACGCTTCTAGTCCCATGGCGCACTGGTAAATACAAAAGGCCTCGGATTAACTAGTGTGGAAATGTTACTCGGATTCCTACCTGCTCTCTTTTATTTCTTATCCTTATCAGCCAGATGGAGACTGACTGGATAATAGATTGGGTGCAGTAGTCCCTATCTCACGTACTACACACGTGCTCGGTCCGCGCTTATGCAGCATTGCTACCCCATTAGGGTGAGAGCAGACACCGTGACTTGCGCGTGATTTCTTTTACAGTAATAGTAGTATTGCGCTATATCTACTGCACTCTCGCCTCCTTCCCCACCTGAACCCGGTGTCCAAACAAGGTCAAAAGACTGGAGGTGGGAGACGGCGCAGGTGGTTGGCGTGGCGAAAACCCGCATCTAGACGTACCAACACATCCCCTGCTCCACAACGTATACTGGCTAGGATTTTACACCAGGGAGAAAAAGGGGACAGCTCGAATCCCACTGGGCGGGAGCTGCATTAAGAGGGAGTCATTGCAGTCTGACTCTCAGTCCACCAGTCGGCAACTCCACCCAAACACACACACTAGGCTGACTGCGGGGTCCGAGTTGTCCCGTTGGAAATAACAGGGTACAAAACGCGCATACCAACCAACCTGAAGGAATCTCCATAGTACTCTCAGAGAGCATTTCTTTGTAGCGCGGCACGCGGCCGTAAAGGGAGGAGCCGACGCAGGCTTTACGCGCAGCGGCCTCTACGTCATCCATTTCCGTCGCTGATGCAATACGGCTGGCATAGTAGACCAAACTGTGATGCGGTGAGGGAGGCTTGACGACTGCTGTCTCCCCGTCCGGCTCTTCGATACCGCCTCCGGCTGCACCGCCGCCGCCGCCATCATCCTTGTGCTGCAAAGACTGGAAGGCGCTGGTGATGCCCGGAAAACGATCCGGCAACCGGTGCATCTCCTGTCGGCAAAGGACACCAGATACGGACAGGGCGGAACAGCCCACCTGGCCGGCCAGGTAGAGGCGTGCGAGGCGGCGAGTCAGGTGGTCGAGAGCCGGAAGCACGGCCGCACCACGGGCGTGGGAGAGAAAGACGTTGTAGGCGGAGATCACCTGGGCAAAGATGGAATCCGTTAGACAAGAGCACAGTACCGACAATGTGGTTAGCAATGTCGGTGCAGTAATTTCGAGCACATCTCCACGAAATCCCCGAAATTCTGCTCTTACTCAGAGTACATTTATATCTAGGAGGCTGTCCGGATGCGTGTGCGAATTCCCCATGTACTAATCCAACAAATACACTACGGCCAACACTCACCAATCAGAGATGCCTTCAGAAGGTGAGAGGAACCCGAAGCCTGAAAATAAACTTTTGGAGGAACCTGAAGTCCGTTGGCAAAAACCGATTTTCGCACAGGAGAACAAGTGGAAAACGACTGCGAAATCCGTGATCCCATACCTCCAACTAATCATTGAAGGTCGTGCGAGTGAGCTTTGTTTAGAGACATTTTAATTTCTATACCTGCAACTTTACAGGGACATAAAAACAGAAATGTTTAAAGTTAAGAAGAGCATTTTATTGTGACGTTTCTAGCCTCAAATTTAGGCAGATATGTATGTACGAAATACCATCCAGACATGCAAACGCTTCCACCAATGCAGCGATGAGGCAAGCCCCGTAAGTAGGCGTGAAACACGATGAGTACAACAGGTGTGCTCTCCCATGAAATGTAGGTCGAAATTTTGACATGTGTATTTATTTCGAAAAGACTACTTAAATAAGTTAGTCATATTAATTATCGTGCTTGATAATCATAAGGTATATCAGTAACGCTATGACGTCGGTTTGTAAATGAGCTTCCTTCCGGCCGCCTGCACAAACTACTTACTAAAAATGACTAATTAATTAGCATGTATTTTTCGTATTTATTTTTGATACGTTTATAAATTAAGATAGATGTTACAGAAAACACGCACAAAGACATTCTTTTTGCACTAATTTGGTAGCAAATTATATCTTCTTAAAATTTTATACTTGAAGGAAGAGTGTCGTCCGGTTTTAAAAAGTCCCCAATTATAAAGTTTTTAAGACCGTGAAATACCCAATCATACAGCACCTCATCAGGACGTTAATTAATGCCCATATCCGCTGCAAAACTTTATGAGTCCTGTATAATATCTTCTTAATTGCATAAAGAAAGATATGATGATCCGTACACGGAAAGTATAGAGCTTGTGATTTGGAAACCCTGAATGCGAGTGTAATGGCAGGTCGGGTTCAAGATTACTCGGGATTGGCAAAAATGTTTTTTTTTGAAAAACCGAACAATACTCCTCCTTCAAGCACCAAATTTGAAGAATACGTAATTTACTACCAGATTTGTACAGAAAAGAAAATATTTGTGCATTTTTTTCTACAAAATCCATGTGGTTTTATAAGGATATCAAAATTCAATGTGAAAAATTTCTATTGCATAAGTGAGCATTTTTGCAGAGTGAAGTTTATGGGGCGGCCGGAAAAAAGCTCGCTTAAATACCGGAATCCTGACGTGACTGAAATATTTTGGGATCATATTAGAAACCTACTTACGAATTGAACACACACATTTCAGAATCCTGGTTAACATTTTATGAGATGGGACATCTACTGTAGATTTCAACAGCCGCTAAGGCAGAGCACATCAGGCGAAAATCCACCTTTGCCAGATGATAGGTTCTGGAGTAGTGGGCGGGCAAATCCTGACGGTAATGCGCCTCTGCTGCAGTCAGTGCGGCCTCGCTGCGAATTTCGGACAGTTTCTGTTCGAGCATCGCCTGGACTGCAAAGGTGGGACTTCGACCAAGGTGATCGCTCACGGCCGCAGTGGCAGGAGAAAAGAGTTGCTGCCAGCTTTTGGCAAGTGAGAGTCCCGTGCTTGTCTCAGCCTCGGTCTGTGTTCTAGGACTTCTGCCCACGGCGGCGTCTGGTTCAGACATCAGGCAGGTGAACAGTTTGTAGCAAGCCTGTAAAACAACGGAGTAAATAACCTGTACTGGTGGAAAGGTAGTAGCAATAAACTTAACGTAAAAAAACAGTTTAGTTCGCTTACGATAAACCAGGCCTTGCAAGAGGGTAATTCGAAGGTAAAGTGGGAATGACCATCACCGGAGCCTCGAACGTTGGCATCATCAAGAAGGCTGGAGAGATGACACTGCAGAAAAGCCCCAAAGCTGCGATCATCCGGTCGGTCTGGAGGCGGATAAAGTGGGTTAAGGGGCGGTGGAGCTGTACGCCGATCGCAATTATCCAGAGCCGAGGGGCGTACAGTACTGACAAGGTCCTCGAGAAGCTGTTGGGCCAAGCTATCCCTGTCGGAGTCGTCGGCATACTTCTGGAGTGGTTCAACAACGTCTGGGTAGAGTACTCGGACATAACTGTAGCCCATCAGATCAAATAGTCTGGTTTCCGACGAGTTCCTGGGGCGAAATACAAGGGGGTAAGATTTGGAAAATAAAAGTCTACAGAATGTAGTAGTTGTGTAAAGGGTAGACAGACTCCCGCAACCAGCAAAATATTTCTGGAGGGAAGATACAAATAAGAGCGGAGAATTGACAGAGCGCAAAGGTCCAGAGACTTGTCCCCCCCCCGCAGCTCAACTGTTTGACATTTGATTCTGCTTATGTAATACTCAGGTCCTGACAAAAGCCTTAAGAAACATACTGAGGCAGAAAACAACCGCATTAAAACGTACCCGTCAAGTAACCCGCTATCATAAAAGACGTTGAAGATCTGATTAACCAGGTTCTTCTCCAGGGCTAGAAGCGCATACTCGTTCTGAAAAGGGCGAACGGAAGCAGGGGGTGTAAAGTTTTTAGAAAATGTAGAAAGCAGGCAATGCCAGAGGTAGATGGCGATAACAGATACTGCTGGCTTAGTAAATGGTTCCCTAACCTAACCACACCATTGGTTAGCAAGTGCGTCCAGACATCATTCGTGTTCTCAAATCTGCAGCAGTTTCTTGGGAAATTAGTAGTTTATTTCGCTATTAGCTTTCGGTATGATTCCATCCCAAATCTTCAGGTAGCTGTGTTGACTTACTACCAGAAGGCAGTGCGATCGAGTCTAGAATGAAGCCCCGGTGCCACCTGATCGAACCATAGGACGTGTGCAAACCACCAGAATCATCTTCTCCAAACACATTGGCAGATTCTTTCCGGGTCCCTTGTGACGCTGGGTAGCTATATCGCAGCCACAGAATGCTTTTGAAGCAAAGACCGTAGAGCACATCGAGATCCAGGTCTTTTTGAACCAAGTTACCGTACAATCGAATTCGTTTAGAGGCATAGTAGCCTGGTAGACCTAAAATTTGGTGGCAAGTCTGATCTTGCTATGCTTTCACTGACCTTTACGGAAACTAACGAAGAGTTTTATAAGGTCGCAACCATCTGAGCAGCAATTGCCGCTTGTTGTGTCCATTTTTAAGGACGATCATCTTTCAGGTTCTACGGCTTACCTCTTCGAGTAGACGGTCATTCAGTTGTCGCTGCAGTTTAGGTCCCTGCACACTCAGATAACAGTTGGGTGGCGCCTTCTGCCCAGCCGCGGTCAGTGCGCCTATTGGCAGTTTGAAACACTCAACGCCCTGAGGCACAGTCGAAAGAGGACACAGGCTCCGGCGCCCACGCTGCTCGCCAGGATTTTTACGTAAGCCAACCGATAGTAGACCTGCACATGGGGGACCAGCCTGCAAGAAAATGTCTCGTGCCAGATATCTCCCGCCACCTCCCAAGGCGAGCCACGGTGCATCGGATCGAAGAGCTCTGAATGGCCAATGGAACGGACAGAGGTTTGTTGGTGCTGGGAGAAGCGCGGTTCGAGACTACGTCGAACTGTACATACATGCTGAAATAGCCTGCCTCATCACCAAACTCCGAATTATGCGACACTAGGCTGCGATCTTTGACCAAGAGCTAGGGGCAGAAGTAGCACCGAAGCTCCAGAGAAGGGACGTCGTCTATGCACAGAAATGTTGACGGTCTGCTTCTGATTTTCAACATTTCGTCTGAAGGCAACCGGAAAGAGGTCCACGATGTCTCCTTCTATATCTTCTCCTGATACCCATGAAATAATGCTGTAGACACCAATCACGCAGAATGCTCACTAAGCCCTCTTCTCGCTCCACTTTAATAAAAGGTTAGAAACTATGATATTGGTGTTTCAATCCGCAACTTGAAAACCGTAGGACAGTGTAAAGTCAGCCTCTGAAAACAGGGATGATGGCAACAAGGAGGCCACTAAGGTACTCCAACTAGGGCATGCAGTCGCCAAAGGTAACAGAATTCGACGCAGTAGGAACACAAGAATTAGGCGATTATTCATCCGGTGTACTGGCTGTGTGTAGGGCAGCGCAGACAGGGGGGGGGGGGCGGGCTAAAGCAAAAGATTACGAACCTCTGCCAGCCTTCGGGCCGCGATCGTCGGCGGCAGTTTGAAGAGGAAGAGTAGCCGGGGCGTGGCGATGCGTCCCGCGGCAATACAGTATCGAGGGAGCGGCAGGGTACGAAGCAGCGTTTCAACTGAATGACGCAACTTTGTCCTAGAGCTGTTGAGAGGAAAGGGCAGACTTGCCTGATACGATTAAGGAGCTTGAAGAGCGCGACATAGCGGGGGTCAAGGTTTGTGCCATAGCTGACAATCTGGGATAAAATATGAGGTATAACATGACGACTACGCCTACCAGGATAAGATGAGAAACCAGGAAAAGGTAGTAGAGGTACTTCAGCCGTTCCATATCCCAGTCTGCCAAAATATCTTCCGAATTCTGAAGACAAAATGCGGATGAGGGATTGAGGCGGAGTTCAAACCTTAGGATTTGAGAGGAGCTCATCCAACAGGTGCTCCGTGTCTCGAAATTGCAGAAAAATAAGCTGGCGCTCGCAGTCGTAGAACCCTTGGATGACGCTCTACAAGGTAAGCTGGGGGAAAAATGACTTACCTTGCCACAGGGTAGAGAGAAGACATTCTTTTGCAGGAAGTTTTCAACAAGCTGTGAAGTACTTCCGCAAGTAAGGCTATCCCATGAACCAATTATGGAGACAACAGCGACCTTCTTTGTTTTGAGGGGTAACAAACTAGCAGGTAAATGCAGAGCTGGAAGTACTGAGACCTACACAAAGTCGAAGGCCGGAGGAACTGGAAAGCGGCCACCGCAGTATGCAGGGGTAGCCATTCGGCTGCTGCAATAAAAAGAAAGCAACTAACGTAAAGCTGGTGATAAAGAGCCTTGGGTATGGGACAAATTGCCTTAAATTCGTCGCTGGGTGTTAAGGCAAATTCGCGCAAAAGGGTACGTCACAGCGACTACCATCACGGCACCGCCCACCCTCTTAGAACGTGCAAATCGCAGCAGCAAGGTAAGTCACCTTGCTGAGAGCACTCCAGCAGCAATATCGCTCTATGCTACCCCAGATGTTTCGATTTGTCGGTCGCGCTAATCTGGCAGTCATGTCCGGCCGCAACTACTCGGTGGGTCGAGTCATGCAGGCGCACGTCCATACGAACACAAGGACACAGTACCCTAATTTTGCTCTCACAAATTAGTAATGGTAGCTGACAGCATGAATCCACGTTCTCGTAGGCATGACTTAATTTTGTCAGCCCACGACCTGGCCTCGCCAGCGATCACCAGTACCGGAGACAGCAGTTCGGCGTTCTGTACAGAATAAATTCTCCAATCTAGTGTCTTCCGTCTCTTTTCTGCTAATCGGGACTAAAACGGAGAATCGTCTTGGACACGCCTAAATCCTTCCGCTCTGTCTCAGGACAAACTTCACGTTCGACGGGACAATCTACGAACAGGTGAAAGGCACACCAATGGGTTCGCCGGTTTCGGGATTCATCGCCGAGGCGGTCCTGCAACGGTTAGAGTCGCTGGTCTTCCAACACCACAGACCTAAGTTCTGGGCCCGGTGTGTGGATGATACCTTCGTCGTCATCGAACAGGATCAGGTGCTGACATTCAAAGAACATCTCAACGCCGTCTTCCCGGACATTCAATTTACGATGGAGGAGGAAGAGAACAACCAGCTGGCCTTCCTGGATGTCCTTGTATGCCGCAAACATTGTGGTCGACTAAAGACCAGTGTTCAGGAAAGCGACAAATACGATGCAAGTACTGAACTTCAACAGCAAACACCCAATCAGCCACAAACGCAGTTGTGTAAGGACGCTCTATCGGCGTGTCGAAACGCACTGCAGTGAGCCGGAAGACTAGATTGCCGAAATACAATACCTCCAACGGGTATTCAAAGCCAATGACTACCCGCGCAACTTTGTCGACCGGTGCATACGCAAAAGGGACGAAAGGCCTAACAGCATGGATACCAAATCTTGGCGGGCGCTTCCGTATGTCAAAAACGTTTCGGAAGCTGTCGGCCACCTTCTCGCACCACTTGGAGTTGGAGTTGCACACAGACCGGAGGCGACCATCAGGCGTCTGGTAATAAAACCGAAAGACCCGCTGCCACGGCTAGAAACGTCTGGAGTCTTTATCGGATCTGGTGCGGTTGCGGACAAAGCAATTACGTCGGAGAAACCGGAAGACAGCTCCGAACGAGAATGGCCGGACACACTGCAGCGGTACGAAGAAATGACGCCAGCTCTCAAGTTGCGGTTCATTCGACGAGACCGAAATTCTCGCAAGAGGTGACAACCGCGTGAGCCGGGAGCTACTTAGATCATGGTTTACTGGCCCCCAGTCAATTAATAAGTGCAATGAACTTCCCATTCCAAACTCGGTGCCGAGACTTCGCCTAGGCGGGGTAATTGGCCACGCGGGGAGCGCACAGGTGAACACTTTTCCCAACACCAGTGTCAGCGCGTCAGATGGTCGAGCAATCATCACACCAACATCCAACGCACGTGATGAAATTGCAGCAATCAACGACGCGAATGTCGGCCATCACACCACGTGCAACGATCTCTGATGAAGGGGGGAGCCGTGAATGATCATAGGTACGCGGTAGCATGGCGACTGCATCCTATAAATACTGCAGCCGCATGCGCATGAACCACGCTTATCTGCTTATGTCTCTGATGATGGATTCGAGCAGAAATCCGAAGCGTCAGGCTAATAAAGCTCTTGTCCCAGCGATCGTGTCTCCTTCTTCAAAAATCGAGACTTTATTTGACCCTCACCGCCTTAACAATAACAACACCACAATCCTTCCGGATCACAGTGGAACACACGTGCTAGTAGACAAAAATTGACACCTAGAAGAGCCTACTCTGTACAGAGTCGCAACAGAAAGGATACTTTGGCCGCCAAAAATGTTAAACAAAAATCGAAAGCCCCGATTTTGTTTACGCCTGGAATTATTACCCAAAATGACTCAATGTGACAAGAAACCGTACAATATAAAACTTTTCGACGACAAAGATGCGATAGGATGTGGCAGAAGGCTACCTTTTACAAAATCTCATTTATATTATTTGCCCAGGGTACAGGTAAAGACGCTGCTTATGTTTTATTGAAAGAACAGGCTCACCGGCGGCTCTTAAAGAAGCGTAAGGTTGTGATAGTCCATATTCTGAAGAATAAGAACAAATATGGCGGATCACGGCAGTCTACTTTTGATCACTGAAAAGTAAAGATAACTTAGATCGTTGCTGCTCAAACTTTAATGTGACAATTTGCTGTGCGTTCTTGCGCTTCTCGCTTACCCAGGACAAGATTTTTCTTAGCAAATCCATACCCAAATGCCCTTACCAGTAGATAACAGCTGCCGGTAACTCCCGCAGGGAATTAAAGAAGGAAGCATTGAAAATTTAACTCCGATTCCACCCTTATTCTGAAGCATTTGAATTGCCCTAAGAGGGCCGGCCCAGAGTTGCTGATGAAGGGGGAAATTCGGGTCATTGCAGGCGCTTCACGATCTGACAGTTTTATATAAGACGCGCAGCTTTTCCCAAGATAAGCGTTGATATTTGCTTGTTAAGGCAAAATTCTGCAGAGGTTACCTGATTCCCACTGTGATCTATCCCCCATCCGTTGAGACGACTGGTTGTCCATGTAAGGCAAAACACCATTTTACACTACAAACTGTGGCGACATCCAGGCCCGCTTGGGGTAAAGGCGTATGACGTATGGGCGTGGAAATAGATAGGTGCTCGGTTGTGAGTGAAAATTCAGGAGTACCAGGCTGCCATAATCAACATTAAAGATAAATAAAGCCGGTCCCCATACAGACATACGTAGGGGGTTAATAATGTTAGACTGACATTTATTGTAGTATAATTAGATGCGACAGATCTTCTGGTAGATGAGGCTCACGATATTTCCATCCATGCAATGGAAGTCCCATAATTCTGTCGTGCAACACAGCGAAGGTTTTTTTACTTGCGAGGGACCGAGCAGCAATTTGCCTGAAATCATTATATTTGTACTTTTGTACTTGGTACGGCTGCGATCATGCCTGATCTAACCGGCCTCGATGATGCCACAAACTGTACCTCTTCACGCGTGACCATCCGCGGCAGCAGATCTGGACAGATCAACCCATTCTCTTCGTGAACGACGGAGACCGAATACCGAAGGTCCAAGAACCACCTTTATGTCTTGACAAACTGTATCGAGCCAGGTTTCGAGTTGACCCCCTCCTCGACGCCTCCAATGGGGTAACGGTGCCGGATCGAGGGCAGTAACACTGAACTCCTGAGGTAGACGACGAAGAACACGTCCAAAACCCCTCAGTTGCCTTTCTTAGATGGCCTGGGTTATTCTTGCGATGTTGTCGCAGCGAGCGCGGACTGTCTCATTTGGGACGACGTCGGTGTACTTTACTTGAAGGATCGTCCTCAACCAGTGGTGGTCAAATACCTCCAGTTTTCGCCCGTCCTCCATGCGCTCAGCCCAGCATTCCCAACCATAAAGAAGGACAGGCTGGACAGACGCACGGCACACGCGAATCTTAGTGGCGATTGAAAGGTCGCGTCGGATCCATAGGCATTTTCTAAGGCTTGAGAAAACCCGTCGGGCAGCATTGATTCGGGGGACAATGTCATCCTTACTCTGGTCATTTGGCAGCAGCCTCGCCCCGAGGCATTTCAAACTGTCTACTTCTTCAAGTTAACAGCTATCAATCCCGAGAAGTGCCTTCACTTGGTCAGGGATGCAGCTTGAAAACACTTTAGTCTTCCCAGCGTTTATGGATAAACCGACCGATTGACCGACCTCGTTCACCCGCGACACCATAGACTGCAGATCACCAAAACTTAAAGCAAGTAAGGCGATATCATCGGCATAGTCGAGATCAGTCAGTCAGTCATTATACATAGCTCTGTAGGAGACAAAGCCGAACAAACAATCCGAGCGACTGTTGAGAACCCCTAAGGAACCTAGTGAGCATGTTCAAATCGAGTATTATGACTCGTGCTACGCCGTCCGCAGCAACCGAAGCGCGCCGCAGACAAAAAGTAGGCGAGCCGGACTAGTCAATCGGTAACGGACTCTTAGTTTGGAATGCTGTAATGTGCAAACGTCCCCGCACCCTGGTACCCGGAGATTGACGGCGCGCCCTCTCTATCAGTACAAGGTGAATGTCTGCTGCCTGTTTAATATCCGAATCCCCGGACCAGGCGCTCAGAGAATAAAGACCCCGGGGATCTACTCCCAATTTGCTCTTTATCCCAGCGGTCCACGCGACTCCTATTGTGGACACGCTGTGGCGATCGCCCTCTCTCAACAATCGACCTGTGCACTACCTGCATTGGAACCACCGGATAGCTTATGTGCGACTGAGAAGTCACTTGACGAACATCTCACTTGCCTCCGTGTACGTACCAATGTCACCTGCTGACTAGCGCGATAAAGACACCTATTTTCAGCTGCGAGACTAGTTAAAAGATCTCCCCGCCGTCATCTGTTGATTGTTGCCAGGGTCTGAAATGGCCGGACTGGATCCGGCAACTCTTTAAAAAATCACCTTATTGACTGGTTTGATGCTTGGTTTCGATGCGAAAGTGGAAGGCAGCTTTAAAATGCAAAGTCTTCAGCTTCAATAGCCTCTGCCGCAACTTGTTTGCTGAAGCTAATGATAAAGGCTCCTCTGACGTACAAGTCTTGTGTCAACACTCGTTCGCCCCGCTTCCATGAGGTTAATGAGCAAGTGCGTGGAGATGAAATCGTCCCTGATTACTTGCTCTCGGGTATCTTTGTGCCTATCTTTAAGAAGGGAGATAAGATGAATTGCGAGAACAACTGCGAAATAGGCTTCATCAACGTTGCTGCGAAGGTCTTCGTTGTTGTCCTTCTTCAGGAGATTCCCGGCTGTGCGTGACTCTAGGAAGAGACCCAACTAAGCTGACTTCCGAGCTGGGTGTGGTTACGCGGATCACACATTCTCACTGCACCGCATTCTTGAATTCCGCCTTGCCTATTACCAACTTACGGCCGTCTGCTTTGTTGACTTCATCCCAGTGTTAATCACGAGTGTTTATCATCCCAGTGTTCATCACGAGTCCCTGTGATGGATAATGGAACTTGGTGATTTGTCGGCAAAAACAATCGTCATTATCAAGGCTTACTGTCGCCCCAACATTGCTCGACTTCTGGTCCATGGCAATCTCCCCGAACATTCGATATTTGGTCTGCCGCTCGATAAGGTTGCATCCTGTCACCCATTCCGTTCAACTACGCCATTAAGTGGGTTCTTGGGAGGCCCTACATGTTTTCAAGCCGCATCCATGATCAACAGAAGGCACCCCTTGAAATTACATGTTGTTAACTCTAAAAACTAGGCAGTTTCAAATACCTCGGGGCGGTGCTGCTGATGAGTGGGCAGACTACGAACACTGTCCACCGAATCAATGATAAACACAGGGTATTCTCAATCATTGGAAAGTGTTTGTGAACCCGACGCGACATCTCCATCGCCAGGAATATCTGCGTGTACTGTGCAGCCCTCCGGTCAGTCCTCTGCGATTATGAATGCTGGGCTGTACGCGCTATGAGCGAATAGTGGATGTGCTTGATCATCGCTGCCTGAGAGCCATTCTCCAAGTGAAATACACCGATTTCGTCCCAAATGACACAGGCCGCACTCACTGCGATAACATCGCGGGGAAATCTCATGCTATCCAAGCAAAACGATCGTAGTGGCTTGGGCTCTTTCTTCGCCGTCCGTCTCACGACCTCAGTGTTGCTGACTCCATTCAGGCACCGTTGTCTATTTGGAGGCGCTAAAGAGGAGATAAACTCAAAATCCGGCTCGACACAGTTCGTTAAGACATGGAAGTTGTTCTAGAGCCTTCGGTGTTCGAACTACGTCGCTGAAGAGAACGAGTCGGGCTGTCTAAATCCACTGTAACGGGTCATCATGTGGGGAGAGGTGCAATAGGTGACGTCATCAAGGCCAGCTAGATCAGGGCTGATCACATCTGTACCAAGCCCCAGTACGTGAGTAGCTGACTTATGCAAAATAATAGTTGACGTGACGGATGTTCGGCAGACATACCCAGTAGGTGATACGGACGGCGTATAGCACGAAAGCTAGGCATCTTTACAACCGACCATGTGCAGGACGCCTAACAACTGTACGGTCACTCAGGTATTCACAATTAACAGAGTCATACCAGCAAAGTAGCAATATCATTTTTGCTAAAAGCAGTGTAGTGTCAAGCGAATCAAAATTTTGTTATGGAGGCCAGACCATATTTTTTCTATAAGTCATGGACTTGGAGAGGGAATTCGAAGGCGTGCAGTCGATTTAATGCAGTTTAAGCAAATTACGCAAAGGGTTTTGGTAGGCTCATGAAAAAGAATTAAGACGGAACGTTCAAATCCTGTATAGGTCCATGGTCTTTCTATGCACATATATAGGCCGTTTATCGATCGAGGGAAACTGGTCGGTTTTCCCCGGCAAAAAACGTGTCTAGAGTTTTAGCTACTACCGCACTATACGAATGCTTAAGGCATTTTCTGTACGGAATGACGTACATGATCGTTTAAACCCTGGGGGCACATAACAAGGGGTGGTGTATCGAGCTCGCTAATGTCCTAGTTTGCGCTGCTGGAGAAAACCTATGATTTAATTAGTCGTTGGGTGCGGCTTGATAACGTTGCTAGGTGAACAAGTGGCTGCGTGCACTTGCATATGCTTATTTGTGAGATCTGGTGCTCGAGCGGGCGCACACAGTACCTCGCGCCACTTCCTGTTTTGCCACGTCGGCGAACGCACGATCTGTCTGGCCGGCATCCTTTCATTCCGCTTTCTAACTGTGCTTTCTTCCTATAATGTTTCGATGTGTAAGCAGCTGCACCCACCGACGTAACGTACAACGGGAAACCATCGGAATCTTACGAAGAATTAGCGAAAATGAGAGGCGAATGACACCGTCAAACACATCATCGTCGTATGCATCGTCTGACAGCTCGATAACGTGCACCGATTCGTCGTCTTCTTACTATAACCATCTCGCCCCGTGATCGTAATCGGCACGCTTCTCTATTAGCTATAGTGGTACAGACAGGGTTAAGAAGATTATGTACGAGATTATACAAAAGTGAAAAAAGAACAAGCAAGCAAAAATACGCAAAGCACTAAATTAAAGCATCAAAAACAAAAGTAACGGTCATGTATAATTGGCAAAAACTTAAAGGATCAAGATAAATATATTTGTCTAAGGCTAGATATGCGTCCGCAAAAGAGATAAAGGAAACAGAAGAACAGACAAATCGGAAAGGAAAGAGATGGTTTCCGTTAAAAAGAAAGGGCTCACGAAATAAGTGTCTAATGTGGATTTTTAACTTGAAAGAACGGACAATGTTAAAAAGGCGAACAGCTCACATGTGATTGGTGCACGACTTATTTTACAATCTTGCGAACAAGAATAGCTTATTTAAAGAATCATTTATCGACAGGTGCCACACTGGAAACTAATCTCCTACCCGTGTTTTCGAATTTTAAGAATAACATTCCTATGTTTATAAATAAAACGTCAAACAACGAAATGATCGACGGAAAACTACCTGAGCTTGCATCAGACTGTCTTGTTAACTACAACCCAACAACGTAGGCTTGAACGTAAACTGCGCAACAACTGCTCGATGATAAAGCACAGAGAAGAATGGTGAATGGAATGCGACAGAATGAAGATGTATTGTGACAAACATATGTGACGGTGGTAGGAAGAACCTACACGTTTGTGGTTGAAAACGCCAAGCCGCGATAGAAAAATGAAACAAAATGAAGTAGGAAAAGGGATGCATGTTTTATCTTCAACTAAAGCGTATTATTGTCGTAATCAACAAATATCAAAATGCTTACGACAGAATGATGCTTCCTTACTCGCAAACGGCGTAACACAGGATTAAAATTACAAAAAATGGAAGGATGAAACATCGGCCGGTATCCTCATCGGACGAGTGCATAAGCTAATAGCAGCTGAGCATCTGTCCTTTTGAACGCGGACCAAGGAAGGACAGCAGTCGAAAGGCTTTAATCTTATTCTTATTCGAAAGGAGGAGAATGTGCTAGACCTGCAGGACCGACAGCCATTAGGGTCAAGCGACCACATCGCCCTCTACTTCGAGTACTTACCGTTTTCCAAACCAATTCTGCCCAATGGGTAGGAAAGAAGCATTTGGAAGGGGGACTATTCTCTCATGAGGAGAGAGGCGGCGGAGGTATCATGGGAGACCAAACTTCATAGTGATGGATACGACAACTGCAATGTTTTAAGTTCCTTACCAACAAAAGGGCTATTTAGTCCAAGTGTCCTCTCAGAAGAAAAACAATTACAAACCGCCCAAAGTAGATAAACTGGAACTTAATGGCCTCTTTCAAAAAAGGAATCACCTGTGGAGGCGTTACAGACTAACTGGCTTTGAAGAACTCTTATTGGAATATAAGCAGCAACGCGACATTTGTAAAAGCGTCAGATTTGTATGCTTTCCACAGTTTAACATCATAAGTAAACATGACGGCACTGCAACCCAAGTCGTTGACACAGTCATTAATGTAAACTAGAAATAGAAACGGCCCTAATACTGAGCCCTGGGGGACAGTGGTAGGGGGTGACTTAGAGGCATCGATGGACACGGTCTGCATGTATGTATGTATTTGAAAGGGTTGAGGCCGAGTCCTTGATGGCCTTATTCATGTACAGTGATTTCGCAGATTCACAAAAAAATACTGTTGCAGGCATTTACTATCTGATCGGATCACAGTACAATCCTAATAATACGGAAGCCCATCCTGAAAGCTTTTAGAACGGCGAATTTCTCGTTTCTTTCTAAAAGGACTTTGAGATTTTGATGGAATATTTCCATATCATAGTGTATTCTGTCCTTTGGGGTGTCGGAAGCGGACTCAGGCATGTCCTTTATAATTTTGCATTTACTGCACTCAATTCGAGGGCCTTGCGATTTATCTTACATACTAAAGCTTCATTACGGACATCTTGATTATCGACTTCTTCTGATTTGAGGAGGTCTGGTGCGCAAAACCAACTCATGTTTCCGTCCTTACTTGAGAGAGAGAGAGAGAGAGGAATTCGCTTTATTTTGAAATCATACGTTCAAAATTTTCAGCAAAAAGTTGGCTCCATTCACTATGGACAGTAAATAAGTTAATAGATTATTCAAGAGTCAAAGTTTAACACAAAAAAACGATTATTATGGAGATATTTCAAGTCTAAGCTTCTGTATTTCTGTCTCTTCGCACGTAAGATAGCGCGCTAGGAATGGCAATACAGAAGCTCGACAAGCCGATGTGCGACAGGATATAAGACGGAAGTTGCGGCGCATCGGGCGGGAAGACTTGGCAGACATAAGATCGGAATGTAGGGGATGGGCAACGTCATCTAAAATTCGACCAGCAAATTGCTTGACCGCATTGAAGTGTCGTTGTAAGATAGTGTCAACTAAAAAAATATAAGAAACGCCAGCAGCAGAAGAGAGCATGCGGAGGATTCGTTTCAAAATTAAAAGATCCTTTTTAACAAAGCAGGAAAAATGACAGGAGAACAGTATAGGATAAGAGGAAGAATGCAGGCATCAATGAATGGCCAGACTAAGGGTTGAGGTGTGTGGTAGGAACGTAAACGACGAATGTAGTAAAGAAGTTTACGAACTTTAACAAATAGGGACTCTATATGGAGGGTAAAAGAAAGATTTGAGGACAAAGTAACGCCGAGATACCTGAAAGAGGATACTTCGTTTGGAAGAATGTCAGAGGAATCAGGGTTAGGAGAGGGCCGCAGTCGAAAAATACACTGAACAGATTTTTGGTTGTTTATTAGGAGACCGTTTTCCTCCGACCACGCTAGCACATGGTTT